TATGCAAAAAATAAAATAATCTACAAAAATAAATACATAAATAAAATAAAGTCCCAACACACAAAGTGTCCAAATAATGAGTCCAAACTAAGATCAGATCTTGATGTGAAGACGCTTCCTACTCCACTGAAGAAGATACAAATCAATCACAGGTGCTCTTCAAATACCTCAAAAAAAAAACAAAATCTAGACATAGTATATTACCTTTTAAATCACATATCCCAAAGTGCCACACGTGTATCATGCAAAAAGAACACTCCAGTGTTACAGCACTCATGTGAAAGGTATATTAATAAGTAAATGTCACTGCAAGCCTTATACCAAGTGCATAATTACCCTAAATCAGAAAATTTCAGCTTGTAATCAACCACATGTGTACAGGGTGTCCTTAGATTGGTATCCTCTTGTTCCTTAGGACCTCATAAACAGACCAGGAATCAGTATATGAATTTCAATAATATATAAAATATATTGTAGCCACTTACATATAAAATCAATAAAATCAGCAAATCAGCATCCAGCTCCTAACGACCAGTATACGATCCCCTTTCCATGTGTAGAAGGTCTCCCGATAACCAGGACATTCCCCCTTACCACTCCTGTCCAGCACTAACACTCTCTGCTCTGGGGGACACCTGAAGTATACCGTTCCTCTCCAGACCTCCGACACACAAGGGCTCCAGAATCCAAAATGGCTGCCGCGGCACTTCCGGGAACGTCAATACGTCACGTGCCCTGGACGCGTTTCGTCACTTCCGGACTTTGTCAACAAGGATCCGGTCTTCCTTCCAGGTTTGTGGGCTGCAGCTGCTTGAATGGCTGAGCCACTGATGCTCACGGGAATTTCGTCCACGGCACACAGCACTGAAGAAAGCGCATGCCCCAAAATTGTCACTGCTACTCCGTAGAATATCTCCTAAATAGTGAATGTTTAGCAGATATTTATTTTACCTACAGGTATGCTTTATTATAAACTTATCTGTAGGTAAAAAAAAATACAAAATACTTTACTACCACTTTAAAGCTACTTACCTGCCCATTCATTCATGGAGAGCAGTGAATGTTTAGCAGATATTTATTTTACCTACAGGTATGCTTTATTATAAACTTATCTGTAGGTAAAAAAAATACAAAATTACTTTACTACCACTTTAAAGCTACTTACCTGCCCATTCATTCTTGTACACTAAGCTGACTGTACTAATTTGGCAATGTCGAATCTAATGGAACTCCACCACATGCGCAACAGTGATGTCATCTATGTCCGGCCAATGACAGCGGTCAGCAATTTAGGTTCGGAAGCCAGATGACCAAAGATGTTAACGACCTGCAGTGAGTTCCAGGGATGGTGCATCATTGAATTCAAGGTGAGTATAGTTCAGCTTTAAAAACAAAATATATATACAGTACATATATACTGTATGTAAATCTGTAAGTAAAATTGTGATGGAGAGCAAGAAATGGCTGGGTCTGGGCCACCATTTTCCAAGACCAAAGATGGTTCTCTCTGTGCTTCAGAAATGGCCATTAGAAACATTCTGAGACAATCACCACATCTATGGACTGGTAAGCTGCATTTTATACACTTCTGCTTTGGGGTTTAAATGTGCTTTGTCTGCCACCCCCTCCTGCATATAGGAAAGAAATACAGTGTTGTGTCATTGGTGCCATTCAGTGGCAGTTCAGGTGGATATATAAATATCTTAGTCATGTGACATGTCTCATTTGTATGTCAATAATCCATTTTGTATGACAGGTCAGTAATCATGGTTGTAGCAAAGTCATGGACAATGGTGAAGCATTTCGATGGTGCCCCAAAACCTGAGGATTTTAAGCTGGTTGAAATGGAGCTGCCAGCACTCAAACATGGAGGTAAAGTACTTCATTTATAACCTCTGACTTTACAGATGTTAATTTATTATCTGTAACTATTGCATGCAACTATATGCAAAATAAAACTATTGTTACCTTAGGCTCCCCTAAATGCCATCACAAATGAAATGTGGTCAACCTTTGGTGCATACAGTACATGTTCTTTCATGCAGCCGCAAAAAATGTGAGTCTCTAATAATGCAATTTTCTCTTTCACTTTTAACTGCCTTTTGCCCGCTGGGAATGCCTGTCATGTTCAAACACCACTGGAGAGTTGAAGGAGCACTTTGGTTTCAGGGCTCCTGGGTGCTTGAGAAGCTGTATATAAAATACTAATTTGCAGGCATCTGAAGGCTGAATGCTTATGGGACCATTCACACTGTGTGTTTCATTATTATTATTAATATAGTGTGCTGCATGAAGCCAGCTGATCAATTTTGAATGTGGCTGTAGTGCACCTTTACATACAATAAAAATGCATTGGCAACTACTATACAAATGCCTAGGAGGTTCATTCTGAATGAATGGCACCAGAACCCAAAAGACATTGATGTAGCACTACCCCCGAAGGAGCGGCTTGTATGATGTCCCGGTTTCCCCTTACTTCGCCCGCAACCAGGCACAGTCTATTTCTGCAGCCAAATACGCTCACACACACGTCAGCTAATTGTCTTCATTGATCGGGATGGATGTTTTGTTTTTGGAGTTTCTTGTAAAACTGGGGATAGTGATGGGGAATTGTAGTAGGATACTCCAAAATAGAAATGTTCACACTGAGGACATCTAGCTGATCTCTTAGTTGAACACTTATAAAGTCTTGGCTAACAGAAGACAGCAGGCTTCTCTCATAGCCTATAGGAGCAAGTAGTTTTAGGAGTGAGCAAAGTCCCTTTTTGCAGTAGTAGTAGTTATAGGGCTGAGCTGCTCAGGTATAAGCTAGTTATGATAGACTGCGACAGCCCAATGGTAATGTAGCTAAGCAAAGTAGTAACACTTGGACAAGCTCTCCAGAACACTAGCCAGTGTTCCTTTTTTCCAGACCGACACTGACTATCAAACCCCAGCAAGCACACAGTGTTCCGAAGTTGCTCAGTGTCAGTACTCACAAGGCCCAAGGATAGAATGGTTGCCTTCTTTCCAATCTTCCAAGCGAAACCCTCCAGTGATACCAGACAGAGCCTTGGCAGACAACTCCCCTCAGTCAGCTTACTGAAGAACCAGGGTAACTCTTTCTAACATTAGGCCCTCAGGTTGACCCACCTGAGGCTGCATGGCAGCATGTGCCAGGCAAGGCAGCCTGCCTCCAGCTTGGCTGGTGCAATCCACTCCCAGGAAAGACCCTGAACCCATGTGCTCTTAGAATATAAATACCACTCCCAGCATGCAATGGGACTGCCTTCCCCTGCAATTGGCCAGGGCTGTCTCCATCTTCATGCTGTTCATTTGCCTAGCCCCTACCCATGTTCTGGAAGACTCTCATAGCTTCCTGAAGGCGGGCAGAACTCAAGCAGAATACCACACTGAATTTACCTGACAGCCTCTCTGGTAGGCAGAGAAACACAGCTATGGTTACCTAACTATACACATCCTAGCACCTAACTAGGAGGGTGCTACATTAATAAGAGGCATGGGGGATATTAGATACGAGGAAAGATTAGGTAAACTGAATTTATTCTCCCTTCAATATAGATGTTTAAGCGGGGGTATGTATAAAATGCATAAATGGTCCATATAGTGAACTTTTTGCAAAGCTATTCACTTGCATAGTTTCTTCATTCTTACATAGGGGGTTATTTACTAAATCTGGAGAGTGCAAAATCTGATACATCTCTGTACAGAAGCAGATCAGCTTCCAGGTTTTATTGTCAAAGTTTAAGAGAACAAGCTGAAGTTAGAAGCTGATTGGCTACCATGCATAGCTGCACCAGATTCTGAGTGCTCCAGTTTTAGTAACTATCCCCCATAAAGTTATTCACTTTAAGGTCATTTTTTCCTCCAGTCCTCTGGTGGAAAAAAGGTTTATCATCTGCATACAGAAATATTTCTTCAAAGTAGGAGCTCAAGAACTAGATCTAGCCAGCTCAGTTGATTATTGAATGCTGGATGCATTACTGAATGCACAGAATATAATTGGCTGTTAACATTTCTAGGTAATAACACCAGAGATTGTTGATCCAGGGAATTTCCAATTGCCTTAGAGGATCAGGGAGATTTGTTTTTACCTTTGGTGGGGAAAATTAGGCCATGTTTTTTTTTTTGTACTTCCTCTGAATCAGTTGATGGTATAGAGTTCAGTATATGGAGTTTTTCAATTACTTATTAAGTTTTGTTCCGTTGGTTAAACTAAAATACTTGTATGTTTTTTCAACCTTTTTAACTATGTCACTATATGGGAGATTTACTAAAACTGGTGCACTCAGAATTGGGTGCAGCTGTACATGGTAGCCAATCAGCTTCTAACTTCAGCTTGTTCAAGTAACCTTTGGCAATAAAACCTGTAAGCTGATTGGTTTCTATGCAGAGTTGCACCAGATTTTTTGCATTCTCCAATTTTAATAACTAATCCCCTATGTAACTATTGTGTAATTCGCTATCACAACACAAATCCAGGGATCTATGGTTTATTCATCAAGTGTGCTGTACATTGTGAGAGCCAACTGCAGCCAATACTTACTACACTGTGTTCCTTGAACCAAAATTGTATTCATTTGTACAAATCTTGTATATCTATACAGGCGTGATTCGTTTTACGAAACGCCTCGATTAATGTAATTTTCGGTTTACGAATGAAAATCCATTGAAAATAATGCCTCGGTTTATAAATTTTTTTCACAATATGAATGGATTAATTGGTTTTCGATGCATTTACAAATTCATTTTTAATCATGTCCCTGTACAGTGTTTATGCCTTTAATGTGCACTTTCCAGACTTTTTTTTTTTACTTTTTTCTGACCTCCGGAACGGATTGATTGCGTTTCAATGCATTCCTATGGGAAACCGCGTTTCGGTTTACAAATTTTTTCGCAATACGAAAAGTCCCGCAGAACGCATTAAATTCGTAAACTGAGGTACGGCTGTAATTGGAATTTGATCAAATCTTTTTGTTTCTTTAATTTTAGAATTGTTGTTGGAATCAGTGTTCTTGAGTGTGGACCCATATATGAGGTAAATTATATTAACTGAGAAAGTTGGGGACCTAGGCTGGCCTCCTATATGATAAGATCAATGTATTTTTATGTCAGCTAGGTATGTCAGTCTGATATATCAGATGTTTTATAACCGAAAATGGAAGTGATAAGGTTCTTTTCTCTAAACAATTCCACATGTGAATGCAGAGCTACCCCTGATAGAGTCGCTGGTTGATTGGGTCCTTCTGCTCTTGAAGGTAAAGGCCCACTCGCATTGTACATGAACATACCAACACATGTAGAGCAGAGGTGTAACTTGAAGCTTATGGGCCCTGATGCAAGAGGTGACCTGGGGCCTCCCACTACCACCTGCCGCTTCCACCATGCGCCAACATACACAAAGTTATTTCAGATCTTTATTTGCATATTAAGAGGGTAATTCAAAATATTTTGGAGAAGCTGTCCACATTTAGATATACCGCTCTAATTATTTTGAATACTTATAAGCAGACCCCAGTGTAGAATGTAAAAAATGCTTGCAAGAAAATATTACAACCTTTTATTTCCACCCCCAGTGAAATAATTTTACTCTCTTTCTTCTCCTCTCCTATTCTTTTTCCTTCTTTCTCTCTACTCCTTCTCTCTTGCTGTCTCTGTCTCTTAAATTCTCAAACTTTACTTCTATCTCATTCTCTCTTTCCTTCTTTCTCTCCTCCATCTCTCTCTTTTTCTCTTTTCCATTTCTCTCTCCCCTTCTTTCTCTCATTTTCTCTTTCACTCTTTTTTCATTTTCAGTTAATCTCACTCCATTATTTCAATGTTGGTTCACACCAGACAATGCATGTGATAAGAACAGCGACACTCTGCAGTTTCTGTGCAATTCCTATACAGTTCTGTGCAGTGCGATCTCAGCTCATTCATTTTGAATGGACAGAAATAGCACCGCACCACAAGTGTTGCATGCTCTACTTTTTAAAGTGCATTGCAGCAAAAGTACCATGCAATCTGGTGTGGGCAAACACATTGCGCTTGCGACTTGTGTTTTGAGTGTCATTAACTTCTTACTGACAGCCACTGCAGATGGCAAATGGAGTGTGTTTTGCATGCAGTGTGAATTGCACAGGAACGCACAGCACATTCCCGTCTGATTCCTTTGCAGACATGGTGTGAACCAGCCCTGGTTTCTTTAGGTGTTCATCTCTCTCTTTTCTCTGAATGCAAAATAAAATAAATAAAAATTTGGCTTACTGCACACTGAAGGACATTTCCATTACACACTACACGTGTTCAAATAATACGGACAGCCGGTGTCCTAACCATTCAGAGCACTTTGCAGGCAAAACCTCCTACTCTATAGTTCCCTGGTCTCCTCCTCCCATGCCCATCTCCAGGACTTCTCCAGGGCTTCCCCCATCCTCTGGAACTCCCCTACCCCAATCCATCAGACTATCGCCTACTCTCCTCACCTTTAGACGCACCCTGAAAAACCATATCTTCAGGGAAGCCTACCCAGCCCTCACCTAATTGCTGATCTCCCCCACTCTTCCTACCACTCCATCCCCCCAAGCTATTTCCTCCTGTACCACTATCCCCTCCCTCCTAGATTGTAAGCTCCAAGGAGCAGGGCCCTTGAACCCCTCGTGTATCGCATTGTATTGTTTCTGTACTGTCTCGTGTACTGTCTCCCATTGTAATGTACAGTGCTGAGCAAACTGTTGGCGCTATATAAATACTGTATAATAATAATATCCATGATGTGAAAGTTAATGCTGCTGTCTGGTGAACAATCACCACATTAACACATTTTACCTGTCTGTACAGAGTTTGGACAACAGAGCCTGCCGAGGGCGATTCCTTGTCTGCCCTATACTGAGCACTGACTGGACTGACACAGGGAGACTGGCTCTCAGCCTCTGAACAGCTGCAACTCTTCCTGTTCTCTTTTCATCTTGTGTCCAGTTCTAGATAAGAGATCACAGGGCATGTGAGGAGGGGGTTGTGCAGAGATAGTAGATAAGCAGAGATAATATATTGGACAAGGCTTCTTGACAGGATGACAAAGGGGTGGGTGTTAACTCTTTCAGCAAAGTAGAAGGAAAACAGCACATTGTGATACATGGGAGGAATCTGCTTGTGCTTTAAAGAACAGGAGTTGACAGGCAGTCCCCAGGGTCCCCTGGAGCAGGGGCCAAGTCACAGACAAACAGTAATTCACTTCTATATAATACAATTATGTAAAACACTATAATGTAAAGGACACAGCTGACAGACACTGCATTTAATCACAACCATTAAGAAAGGTGGCACTGTTGAGGGGCCTAACTATTACCGAAACATCCCTCTCCATATTACTGGCCAGTGGATCTTGAACACAGCTGGTTTTGGGGCCCACTGTCTTTGATTGGAGTGCTCACTCCTAATTTGGAGTTTTTTTAACACCAAGGGTTAGCAATGTAAACGGAAACAAATAGTTGGAGGCTTCTCACCACTTCAGCTGACACAGTGGTGTCCTTAGTAACAGTCCTTCCTTTACAGAATCACCTCTGCAGTCCCACCACCCTATGCCCACTGGAGCTCAGTCTCTCTCTCACAGCAGCACTGAATCTACACACAGCCTATGATGCTCACAGCCCAGCTACACAAGAACAGTTACACAATCTCTGATGGGTTCAGCATAATTTTCAACATCACAGGCTTTGCACACAGATTCTAAAAGAAGCACTCTACTGGTTGCATCTGTGTGGTCTTGAGCTTGCTGTGAGGTGTAGCACCTTTTCCCCCTGGAGCCAAATGCTGGGACACAGCAGCCTTGAGACTCTACAACACAAAAACAACCAGTTACTGGAACTGCAGGTCTCAGGAACAGCTCAGTACCAGGGGCGGACTGACCATTTGGGAACTCAAGCACTGCCCGAGGGCCCAGGGTCTGTAGGGGGTCCCATGAGATGCCCCTGGTACCTTTCATTGGCTTTTTTGGGTGTGGTTTGAGTGTGGGCGAGGAAATAGAGGCCCCATGATTCCCTATTGCCCGGGGGCCCCATAAGTTGTCAGTCCACCCCTGCTCAGTGCAGCAGCACCTCATATCATCTAGGGCAGCTCTATACACTCTGTCCCTCTGTACAGCTCACCCCATGGGTCATGAACCCATGCAGCTGTAGCATTAAGATGAGGGGAGGATCTGTCAGTTGGGGGAGGAGGTTGGTCAGTGAATGGTGGGCGTCAGTAGTTGGGGTTAAAGTCTGTGAGCGAGATGCAGTAGTTGGGGGAGGGGACGTTAGTTGGGGGTGTTGTTTACACTGGCACTGATCACATCATTTACAGGCGCCAGTTTGGAGTGTGTACCATGATTGTGCGCTGCTGACCCAAAACTATTACTTGGGGGTTACACCATGTGTTATCTCACCAGGTGACATCAACCGTAGTGACGGCACTGACTTATATTAATATAATATATCTTATTAGCCATAAAAACTATAACAAATGCTAGTTAATTTAAATGGCATAACAACATAAATTACATTTTAATTCATATGGAAGGGCAGGTAATATATTTTACAGCTAAATTAAGTTTTTCAGAACTGCAAATTTCTGCCCATAAGATTAAACACTTCCCATATATTGCATACTTTGAGCCTCTAGCATGCCTTAAAGTCTAAGCACAAAAAATTTAAAGGTGAACTAACACCCTACATGGATGAAGGCCAGGGGCGGACTGACCATTTGGAAACTCGGGCACTGCCCGAGGGCCCGGGGTCAGTAGGGGGCCCCATGAGATGTCCCTGGTACCTTTTTCATAGGCTTTTTGGAGTTTGGGCAAGGACACAGGGGCCCCATGATCCCCTTTTGCCCGGGGGCTCCATGAGTTGTCTGTCCGCCCCTGATGAAGGCTATAGGTTCATCTAATTTAACAAAGCGTTTTTCCATGCTAATGTGATCATTTAGAATATAATTTTCCAATGTCTGCTTCAGTATAGCTCTTATACCATACTTTTGTGAATAAAGATCAAATTTGTAGTGTCAAAAGTCTGAGTGGCCTTATATCTCTATGGGCCAGACTGCATCTGTCATAGTCCCAGGGCCAAAAAGGAAAAAGTTACCCTAATGGGCTACTGTTTTCTGCTTACCTCTACAAATAAGGCCAAGCAGAAGCCTTCTAACCCACAATACCATATAGGAAGGAACCTTACCAAACATCAATAAGCAGCATTCACACACACACAGGTCCCTGACATTATATTTTGTTGCATAAATTCAGCTCTGTCTTCTTTGCCCAACAGATCCACCTGTTTAGGAATAATAGGTATTAAAGGAGGAAGAGTTCTTTCTGTCCTTGTGTCCCATTTCCCTCAGATTATTCTCTCATCTCCACATTGGGACACAATGAGGTAGCAATAAAGGGGAGTGCTGAAATGGTGAAACATCTGGGGGGACGAAAGATTGCTTTGGGAAGTAGCATTTATTGACTGTTGCCAAAGCTGAATCAGTTCCACTTATTGTAAAGCTGTCATTGTTGATCTATAAAAATGCTATTTGAGACCAGCTTCTTAGCTTACTACGTTGGATTAGTGTATTTAGGTGCTGGAGATGCCATCCTTCACTGATCACATGAACAGAATAAAATACTGCAATGAATATGCACTGTACCCAGGGGCGGACTGACCATTTGAGAACTCGGGCACTCCCCGAGGGCTGGGGGTCAGTAGGGGGCCCCATGAAATGCTCCTGACACCTTTTATAGGCTTTTTTGGGTGTGCTTTGAATGTGGGCAAGGACACAGGGGCCCCATGATCCTCTATTGGCCGGGGGGCCCCATGAGCTGTCAGTCCGCCCCTGACTGTACCTGTCTTTAGAGCTATCAAATTATCGATTCTGTTGTTAAAAAATGTCTGTTCATATTCTTTCCTGTAAAATCCTGTTATTGCAACAACGTAGCAAGTGCATAGGTATTATAGGATGTTTGGTGATGCTTTCAACAAAAAAAAATGCTTCACTGTGCCTGGATAATTACAATTTAGTAACTCAGTAGTGTAGTTATATAATTCCCCTGATTCATGTTGTTTAAAAGGAAGCACTCATCTAGTATATCCTTGCAGTAAATACCTTGCTGGAAATGCATATTCATTACATAGCAAGACCTTGCGACACAAAGTTCTCAAGATAATAGCAACAGTGGTACTACTGCTTAGAATACCTTAAAAACACCATGTTGCAATAAAATAAAAATAAATAATTTAATCAAAATACTCACAAAAATTAAATATTTTTATTCCTTTTTCTTGTTGGTGTACTTTGATAGATTTTATGTTAAAAAAAAGGTGTGATTTGATTTTAAATGTAATATATTTGTCTTGCATCTCACAGGATATATAGTAGTCAAAAAATGAAGGAAGGGGACATTACGATAGGAGCCCAGGTTGCCAGGTAAATAATTTCCATCTCCGTATGGGGCTTGCTTGCTGATTTCCTGTGTCACCTGATGTTTAATAGTTGTTAGCCTATCAACAGCTCAATCTTACATGCTTACAAATATATTAAAGTAAATTACAGGGAAATATAAATATTAAGTTAGCCTGCACATTTATAGCTGAATATTCCATTTTGTGCATCACTCCAATCTTGGTTAAATTTAATTAATGCTTTTGGTTTCCAGATACAAAAGTTGGTTTTATAAGTAGACTGTGTTATACTGAATTAACCACAGTAGATGCATGATGAAAAAGGTTTATGACTCCTTAAAGAGCCACATACCAATTCAGCTTGGTATTCTGGTCTGTTTTCTGGTTCCCATTCTTTTGTCTGTAACCTTCCTTTTTCTCACCATGCTTATCTTTGTCTGTCTGTTTCTATGTTCAGTGTTCTGAGTTTGCTTCCTTATAGTCAATTGTGATCAGGGGCAGACTAACCATTTGGAAACTTGGGCACTGCCCCAGGGCCCGGGGTCAGTAGGGGGCCCCATGAGATGCCCCTGGTACCTTTTTCATAGGCTTTTTTGAGTTTGGGCAAGGACACAGGGGCCCCATGATCCTTTATTGCCCGGGGGCCCCATGAGTTGTCAGTCCGCCCCTGATTGTGATGCTGTTTGTTTGGTACTTTGTCTACCAACTCATCTATCACCAGTTCGAAATACCTGTAGTATGTAATCTGAGCATGTCATGCAACATAACTTTTGGAAATACCCAGCAATGGTGACACAGAGAGTCCCACATACATCTCGACACCGACATATAACATTAAGCCTTTTCCTGAAAAGGATAACATTTGACATATGTCTTAGTGATTATTGGCTGCAGCTGTAGCATTCTACTGTATTAGGAAGTCTTAAATCTTCAGGTTAAACTATCACCTAAATGGAGACTGGACACAGCCCCCCCCCCAAAAAAAAACAAAAAACAAACATAAACCATCCTTGTTCGCACCATGCATAACGTTGTCTCTGCTTCTATTTTCAATGTCCTGAGCTTGCTTCCATACAGTCAGCTGTGATGTTATTCATTTGGAGTTCTAAAACTTCAGGTTAAACTATTGCCTAAATAAAGACTAAACATGGGCCAAAAAACTCCAAAAATGCACAATAGAATATAAAAAAAAAGATTTTCATAATAAATTAGAATGACCATAAGACTTTTGACATTACTTTGTCATTTTGGTATTCTTTGATGGATTGTATGTTTAAAAAAAAAGAAATTAGTGCTTTGATTTTATATGTCTTTTATTTGTCTTGCACTTCACAGGCTATATGGAAGAGAAATGATGAAGGAAGGGGATGTTATGATAGGAACCCAGCTTGCCAGGTAAACAGTTTTCAGCTCTGCTCATAAGGAAATATAATATGATTCTATTTTTTAAATTGCATACAGGATGTGGAGGCTGTTTGAAGACTGGGTCTGCTTTTGTTGTCAAGTCCTTGTTTATTTCTGGATGCTCACAAACCATTGCAACTTCACAGATCAACGAAAACCTATTTAAAAAATGATCTTACAATTATTAGGACAATCAGAATCATCTGAGGTTTGATAAGCATGTAGCACTACCCCTGTAGGGGTTGCTGAGTTTTGGGTCTCTCTATAGTCCTGCACAGCCAGGCAACATGCATTTTCCCATTTAGACTTGCATCCAGGAGACAGTAACCAGTCCTTGAGCTTGTTTTTTGGATTTTATTAGGGAAATTCAAACTTGGATGGGGTAAGGGGTGTATGGGATGCCCAAGTGAAACGGCAACTAAGGACAAACTTTACAAGTCTCTTTAGCAGCAAAAATCCTCTTCTGGAGAGCTAGCTAGCATCTCCTGTTGTGCCACCTCAGATACTCCTCTATCTAGCTCTTCTGGGTGAATCCCTGGGCAGGGGATCCAGTGCCTGTCACTTTAAGGGTAAGACAGCCTCAGGTAGCAACTAATCCAGTTTCCCACCACAGTGCTCCTTCCCCCCCTTACTGGCCAAAGGGGTGCAGGTCTACTCACTCAGTCCTCCTCCTATGAGCTGTTGGGTCAGTGGCTGCTCTCAGGCCTTCTGCTGGGCCGCTCCTTCCCTGCTGCATAGGTGGTCCTCGTTCTGGGGGCCGATGAGGTCCTGAGCTTTCCTCCTCTCCAGATCCTCTGCCTGCAGGTAAGCTCCTTCCCATCTGGGCCCCCTCCCAGGCTCCTGCTTTCCATCCTCTCACTTCTTCATCTGCCACCCGAACTCTCCTGTTGCTGAGCAGGCTCAATCACTCTTAAGGGCTGCCTTGGCCTCATGCCAAGCCTCCTGATGGAGATTGGCCAGGATCCCTTCAGAGTGCAGACCAGCCACTCCTCACTCCTTCCAACTGCTTCTTGAATCTTCTACAAAATTCTAGAGCAGGGAGAAGTTCCAGAGAGCTGGTCTGCAGAGCCTCTCAGCCCTGACCTAAATTTGACTTCCCTTTGACTATCTCCACAGGTTGCTGCTTAGCCTCTAATCAACAATTTGACTCTAGCTTCCTCTAGCTATCTAGGAGGGAGCTACAAACATATAAACTGAACAATCTCCCATCTTCTGAATTTACAGTGTCTGAATTGAAACAGCTGACATGATAGCAAGCTTCAGGTGGCTTCTGACTAGGTAATGTCAAAGTATACAATTTGGCAGCAAACCAAAAAGGGTTCAAAGCACCTCTAATTGTTTGCAATGCCCACAAAAAACATTCACCACACTTCAGCGGCAACACAACTCTCGCTCCCATCAGGGCCCTGAAAAATGGAACAAGGACCTAAATGGGATCAAAGGAAACTACAATCACATGGACCTACATCTAATATGGTACAAAACCTCCTTTAGGACTAGAATTATAGCAATTGTGACAATGTAATCAGCAGAAGCTGATTACGATGTTACAAGTGTTATACTTTGTGGTTTGGTGGATATTTGTATATTTTGAGTCACTTTCAGGTACCCATCGAGAGGGTCCTGTGTGTCTGAGATCTGCATTTCCTGAGTCAGCGAACTCGTTAGATTTCCCTGCGTTTGTGCCATTGGAATGAGCATTGAAATCCCAGTGCCTCCAAAATGTGTGTTTTCTGAGCCCTACCTAAAGTGTCATACTCAGAAAAAAACAAAAAAAGCTAAATTAAGGGAAAATAATAAATTGTACATATGTTAGCCTGCATGTTTATGATGCTTCAAAAAAACCAGGTTGCCAGGTAAATATTTTTTACCTCCACATGGGATCTGCATTCTGATTTCATGACAATCAGAGGTACCTGTTGTTTTATAATTGTTAGCCCATCAACTTCCCAACCTTATATACTTATAATCTAAAAAACAAAATAGAGCTCAAGGAAATGTCCCAATATTCAAAGTCTCCCACTTGAGTATAAAATAAATGTTTTCTCATTGGGATCTTCACCAGATGGATAGACCCTTCATGGAGCAGTGATTTTTTTACATTTTTAAAGTGGTAGTAAACCACAAGGAAAAAAGAAAAAAAACATTTGGGCCCCTGCAGGTTTAGGTCATAATGTACTAGTATGCACTGCATACTAGTATATTATGACAGACTTACCTTTAGATGGAGCCTTCGGCCGTAAGAATGACCTGGGCCATGATGATGTCACTCTCATGTATGCTCCCAGGATCCTTTGGTTATGGCACAGAGCTCTGAAGGTCCGGCACTATATTATGTTATGTGACTATATCCTAAACAGTGCAAGTTTAGGAGATGTTCACTGTACCTGCAGGTAAGCCTTATTATAGACTTATTTGTAGGTATAGGTTCTAAAGTGGACTTTACTTCCACTTTAAAGTGAAACATTAAAAATGGCCAATTCCTTTATAAAACATGCCTGGAGGGTGTCCTAATCCTGTAAAGGGGCACATCTCTGTGATATACAGAAAGTGTTGAAGCAACACTGATATTTACAAAAAAGGAAAAAATTGTATGCAAATGATTGTGGCAGCTGCCATTAACAACTCCTTTGTTAAGAAAAAAAACCACTGTACACAGACCCCCTCCAAAGATCTGCTATGTATTTTGTAGTTCCTTTTGGGTGTTTTAAGAAGTTGTCAATGAATGTAATTTGTTGTATATTGCCATTTGTTTTATAATTTTTTTCTTTGTAAATGTAATTTTTGCTGTAGCACAGCCTACAGGTATGGATTTTAAAGGGGTACCTCATGCAAAAAATGCATGAGGTTCCTCAGGAAATCTATACCAGACCTTTCCAGATCCTTAATCTGAGCATGCAACCTGGCCAGGAAAGCAGGGGGATGAGTGTGAGCTCCTCTCTCCTGAACTATACCATTCCCTCAACATGGAGGGTGCCTTGTCAGGGGGGTACTACCTCCTGGCAAAGCACCTTGACCTCTTCTCCACAACTCTTGCCCAGTGTTTGTGGGAATCTATGGGCAGAGGGCTTATCATAATCTGGAAACCCGCTTTAATAATGATGGGGCCCCAAGACACCCCCCCACGTGGATGTGTAGGGGTACATAGTACTCATGCACAAAAAAAAAAGTGTAACCTAGAAATAAAGACACCTAAACAGTTGACAAGTCCTACCCAAATGTTTGATGAGATGGTAACAATAGATGAGTAACAGATCCCCAAGCTATTATCAGCTATATAAGGGAAAAGCCAAGGATAGATGTGATACCATTGACCAAATATGGCCATGGCCATACTGTATTTGGTCATTGTCCAGATATGGCCAGTGACCATATCTGGGCAGTGGTGTCACTGCTATCCATGCCCATCATTTAAAAGAGACATACCATATCTCTTTTTTCCTTACATGTTCTATTGAATGTACACCGAGGTACTCATGCACAGCTCAGGAGACATTCTCAACATGGTGTTGGTGTGCCAGGATGAATGATTCCTGTGCTGACACGTGGGAGTCACGTCATCCCCACTGGCCAATCAAGAGGATGAAATCCATGCACCCAGATGAAGCTGGCGAGGAGTCCAAAAGTAGTGTTGCTGGAATGGAGATGAGTATTCTACAGACTTTAGCTCCACTTTAAAGAAGAACTCAAGGAATTCAACTCCATTATAAAAAGTGAAGACACACTATGAGTTAAGATCAACAAGGTGACATGACATCTCCTGAACTTATCTCTATTATTTACATGTGTACATGTTACAGATATCTCTGTCCTTCCTGGAGTCCGGCACCGATCTTTCTGGTCTCAGCATCTTCAACAGTAGAGCCTTATGCAGCTGCTAAGCCCATCCTTTCTCTCCTCCTGCCCAATCAAGGAAGCCTTTGCATTATGTGAACTCATTCACACAATGCAAAGGCTTCTGTGATTGGGCAACAGAGGGGTGGGGTGGACATATCTGCTGTGTGCTTCTCTCCTCTCTCATAGCCTGGAGTGTCTCTAGTGTAAATTTTGTTTATTAAAAATCTTACAAACAACATAATAAAGACATATTTACATATATATAAAATTAAACAAAAATAGGTTACTTGAGCATAGAAAACAGGAAACAGCTTTTTTGCCAGGAAAAAACATAAACAGGACTAATCATATTATCTTTATATTGTATCTCAACAAACCCTACCTTCACCTAAACACACCCTCAGGCCTCAGTGTCAGTGTCTCTAGTGTATCCTCCATTAAGACATAAACCTGTCAGATGTACATAAAAGACACAAATTCAGGAGGTGGTATGCACCTCCTTGGATTTAACATATAGCGTGCTTACACATATTACAAACTGGCTGAATTCCTGAAATTTAGCTTTAAGCTAATGTGACTAGTTTAGGATTGATTGCTTGTGTAGGCATGTGTACAGATAGATTCACTGGTTTCCCTCTGTACTTCCTAATCTATTTATTTTCTGTATACCTTTTTACATATTTAATCTGATAAAAATACTTTTTTATACCTTATTTTGTGTAAAATGCCTACACTGCCTTGAAGATTGCTGTAAAAAACCGTAGACAAATACAGTACCTAACCAAATCTAATAGTCTTCCATGTAGCTCACCGCATTCGATCCCCTGTGACTCCATGGGATCTTAATCTGGTTCTCCCTGCAATTAATAAACTGCTGTTTGAATACATTGGATACATTCCTCTCTCTACTCTCACCCAAAAGGTTGTGTTTCTTGTAGCACTCCCCTTTACATGACGGGCATCATCCAAGTCTAATCCAAGCCCAATCCTCAAGGGCTCCACTATTTCCTGTCAAGGCACACTTTACTAGATCTGTGAGTGCTTCGCAGCCTTTCAGCATTAGGCAACTTTTTCACAAATTTGCAAGACTGCCACCTGGTCTTCTGTTCATACATTCGATAAAGTGAATGTTTCAGAATCACTGATGCCAGCTTCGGGCGTAAGGTCCTTCAGACTGCTGTTTGAGCTGCAGGCAGACCCCAGTTCTGTTTTTTATTTTTTTGTTGGGCCTGCTACCATTTGTTTGGTGTGTTGTCCACCCCTCAGTGGGACCACGTTTGGATATCCCCAAGGGCTTCGTGTGTTTCTTCATGGATAGTAAAGAAAATAGGATTTTCGTATACAACATAAAATCCTTTTCTTGGAGTCCATTGATGAGCATACTTTAGATCCCAGTTCCCTGTGTTTTATAATTATGCTCTAGGTACAGCTTTGATAAAAAAAACTAAAGCATGTTGGTTGGAGCAGGGACTTATGCTAGTGTATCACAGGCCAGTCTGGCTGATTTAGCCCAGGTTCTATTCCCTGTAAGGCATATGGCAGCCAGGCACACAGAAGTTCAGTCTCTCAACTCAAGAATCAGGCAGTGCATGTTTTTTTTTTTTCCTCTCCTGCTTTTTAATGCTGTTTCTACTTGGGTGGGGTGCAGTGTGAACGTTGAGATGTGCCAAACCTAGCAAGAAACATAATAGAAGACATGTCTAACTGATTTGTCGGGGTGCAGCTTAGGGGACCCCATTGTAAAGGTATAACTTGAGCCTGTGAACTAGAAACAGCTCTCCCAAAAGTTAGCAAGGACAGCCTCTGGGATCTTTTCAGGCTTGTACTCACTGTGCCCTGGGTACTTGAATGTTTTTCCTGCAGTATCAGACAGCCTTTGTACTGTGTTCCTTCAGCTCAGATCCTCTGTGGACTTTCTGCAGCTGCTTTCGGGAACTTGGGTGTGGGTTCCCTAGCTCTAACCAGAGCTGGGACCCAGATGGAGTTTCCTAAATTTCAGCCAAGTGCCCAGAGGGCACAGCCCACAGGCTGGTTCTTCTCCAACCCCTGCTGTGAAGATGTCAGCTGTGAAGATGGCCGGAGGGCAAGAGTAGCCCCACCAACAGTGATTGGCCACTACGACATATGGTGGTCCCAGCATCCAATCAACCATTAGCAATCAGGAAAATTTGGATAACTCCCATCCTTTCCCAGACGTAAGGCACCTCCCGCACCTTGCCCTGCTGTGTAAGGTAGGACTGCGTGTAGTGTAAGGGGTACACCATTGTCTAAAGAGAATGCTATACTCTATAGGGGACTGTAATGTAATGTTGGGGACTGTGATATGTACAGTATGAGTTGTGTATGTAAAGAGGGGGGGGACTGCATTGTAAAGAGTAGCACTGTGATGTAAAGGGGGAGGACTGTGATGTAAAGCAGGGCTGTGATGTAAGGGTGGACGCTGTATTGTAATGGAGTTGTAATTTAAAGGGGGGACTGCAAAGTAAAGGGGTGGCAGTGATGTAAAAGGGGGTGCTGTAATGTAAAGGGAGCTGCAATTTAAAGTGGGGACTGCAATGTAAGGGGTGGACTGCAATATAAAGGGAGGACTATGATGTAAAAAAGGGCTGTATTTTAAATAGGGGTTGTATTGTAAAGGGCGGGGTATAATGTAAAAAAATTAACTGTGATGTAAGGGGGAACAGTGATGTAATGTGGGCTGTGATATATAGGGGAGCACTGTGGTAAAAATGGGGGGACTGTGATGCAAAGGGGTGTATGCTGTAAAGGGGCTCTGTAATGTAAAGGACAGACTGCAATATAAAGGTGAGGACTGCAAAGTAAAGGGGGGCTGTGTACTAAATAGGGGTTGTATTGTAAAGGAGGACCATAATGTAAAGAGAAGCACTGTGATGCAAAGGGGAATTTGTGATATAAAGACAGGCCACTATAAAGTAAAGGGGCTTTGTGATATTGATATCGATGTGAAGGGGACTGATCACACTGATGTAAAAAAGGGGTCTGTAATGTGAAGGGAGAAGAAGGACACTGATGTTAAAGGGGGGGTTGTGATGTGAAATTCAGACCTGTGCTGGTAAAGAAAATTTTTCTGATCAGACCTCCGTGAATTATAATTCATTACCCTTGCTGTACACTGTACATTTTTTGTTTTGTACTTGAATATACAAAATAAATCTATAAAAGATATCTGTGCAGCAGCTATAACTAATGCATTGATTCAATAATGGTTTAAAAACAAGCTGAATGTAATCTTAAGAGATCTTTAAACTTATTTTGGCTTAATTTAATTTTTCAAATATCAAGCACCAATGAGTGTTACATGGGAGGGTGGTGAGTCACATGCTCCTCCATACCAGAAATAATGGGTCTTTATTCCTGGTTGCTGAATAGTGTGGTAGGGAAGGGACGGGACATGTGAACACTTTGCTTTGTCCAGCATTGGCAAAGAACAGGTTTGCTTTAAGTATTGACTAATCTTCAAGCTGTTTTGTTTTGCCTCTCTTCTTAATATGTATTTTATACCTGAGTATTGTTTTTGTGTTCTGTAGGGTAACAGAGAGTAAACATCCTGGGTTTCCAGTGGGAGGATACTATGTTGCACAGGCTGGATGGACAACGCACTTTATATCTGATGGCAAAGAACTACATGCATTACCCTCTTGCTGGCCTGAATCTCTGCCTAATCACTGGCACTTGGAGCCATAGGCATGCCTGGGTGAGTTGTACAGACAGCATCTACAAAGTACTTTTTTTATTCATTATTTATTTTTTCTTCAGCATGGACACCACAAACCAATTTGGCCTGACTGCAGAGATCAAATTGGAGACTTCTTGCCTTTAGAGCTAAGGAGGTAAAAAATTATTTTTAAAAAAATCCATATTGAAAGGTAAAGAGGTCGTATGTTGCACTAAACTTACTCATGTATAGTACAGCCTAATATCCTGCTATACTGTATCAGCAAAAACACAGCGTTGGGATGATGTGAATTAAGACAAAATGGGTGTGGAAGAAATGGCCAGAGAGTGGGTCATATAGTCATATAGTGTGTCCATACACAGTCCTACAGTGTCACAGTGTCTTTTGGGTCAACTTCTTCTTTGGTCACATGAGCATTGAGCTTAGGTCAATTAAGGAGGGAGGGTAAGGGGTGATCAGGGATTTTTTACACTGTTATTGCTTATAACAGTGAAGTTCACTGTTTATAAGCAATAGTTTTAGCTGTCTTGAATGGGTTTCCATTCATGACAGCTTAGTTACTGTTGATATGCTGTGATTGGCTACAGCTAATCACATGGTATAGGTAGCCCTCAAGTAACCATGTAATAGCTGTGGGCCAATCACAACATCAGAATAGTAATCAAACTGTCATAAATAGTGACCACATGATACCCTGGCCTCTCATAGTGGTCACAGGATTGTGCTACGCATGCAACGGGGGCACACCAGTGCTCATGTGTCAGGCTACATACCAATAAGTTACCTGGCATGGCTGTGTGCCACCCACCCACAGTAAAATGTACTGTGGGTGAGTGGCAAGTGTTTATCTAATAGAAGAATTCTGGCCAAATTCTATTGTCGCTAAAAGGGCAGTTTTAAGGCCTAACATATTTAGTATCCATTTACTCAACCTAGTCTTGCCTTTACATTTTACAAAAAAAAAAAAGTGAATTATGTTACATTTGTGTGCACTAAAATTGAAGTGTTACTAAACCCACAACAGTAAAATCAGTCTGCATATGCAGTAAAGCATGCATGTTATACTCACTGTGGAACCTAAGGGTTAATCCTCCGTATTATGTAAAAAAAGACTGTTTGATCCTGTTTTGTCTGATCCTCCCCTTCTTCCATAGTTCCCAATCCATCTGCTGATAGTACAGGGCTCTAGTAGTCACTCTGCACCAGGGGCGGACTGACCAGTCGAGCACTCGGGCACTGCCCGAGGGCCCGGGGTCAGTAGGGGGCCCCATGAAATGCCCCGGTACCTTTTATAGGCTTTTTTTGAGTGTGGGCAAGGACACAGGTGCCCCTGATCCCCTATTGCCCGGGGGCCCCATGAGTTGTCAGTCCGCTCCTGCTCTGCACATGCTCAGCTTGGTGTGTATTGCTAGAGAGTTTTTTTTGGGGGGAGGGTGCATGTGATCGGCACATTGCCAATCATAACTGTCCAGACAGAGGGGTTCGGGGGGTCATGCAGCGTCATAGGACAGTCAGAGAAGAATGAAAACTTTGCCTACAAGATTAACCAGTGCTCAGCTGGGCACTGATTTAGAAGTCATAAGACTGCTCTAACTGCTGATTTGAAAAGGTAATTTAGCAGTTTATATTACTAAAATAATTGCATTTCTATGTTGTGTGTACTGTGGGAGACCAGATATAGTGAATGCAGTGTCTGGGGTTTAGTAACACTTTAATTTAAGTCTCTTTTTTTTTACTGAAAATAAATGGTTTGATAAACTGTTGTGTACTTATTGTGTGATGGCAAAATCTGCATCTACCATATTTATATTCTACAGGACCTCTGCTTTCAGGAAATACATAATGTTTGGTTGTTTTAGGCTTCTTGCACACGTAATATACACATGTTAACATGTGTACAAAATATTAGAAAAATATTTTGGCAGCGAAAGGGATAAAAAAAAAAAAAACATGCCTTTTAAAGAGAACTGTACTGTATTTCAGGCATTATGCAAATGTAACCCCCAAAACCTTCCTCTCTTCTTCTACAGAAGTCTCAGCATTATTTTTTTACCTTGTTAATGTAGTGAGAAAATTCTTGCAGGGGCAGCTCAGTTCTTATTAAGGTAGGCACTCCCCCAGATCTACATCTTCCAAGAGCTCTTCTAATTGACTGCTATGGTTAATAGTGAATTACAGCACTTTGCATTATGCAATTTAATGAAAGCCGCCACAATAACTGTGCATTAAAGTGTTATTTTTTAATGAAACAGTCTAACCGCATACTTTGGCTTGTTGGAAGTCTGCAGTCCCAAGGAAGGAGACGTGGTTCTTGTTAACAGTGCTGCAGGTGCTATAGGTTCTATAGTGGGACAGATTGCAAATATGAAAGTAAGTTACCTTTTTAATTTGTGGAGCCCTTTTAATTTTGTTTTTCCCCTTTCCCAAAAAATCTCAAATTAATTTTGTACACTCTATTTTCAGACAATATTTTTACAGGAAACATTTCACCAGTTTAAAAAGCACACCTTAGTCTGTTATGTAGTCACCATACATGATAAAATTGCCATGAAGACCTCATATTTGTACACAGAAAAGCCAAATGTAAATGTGTTAGACAGAACATTTACATTCAGGGAAAATTTACATATGACTCCCCTTTACAGGAATTATCACTGGATTACTTGATTTGGGTATGATCCTTTTTCGATGTTTTTGTTTTAGAGGTGTCATCCATGTGACCTTGTTTGTTCTCCTAAAGTCTTTTTGGGATGTGTTTGTAGGGCAGCTGATTCAGGTGTTCATAAAGAAGTGTAGCAGGTTAAGATAAGAGAGTTCAAAGGAAAAGGAAAAGGAAAAAAAAAAAATAGTCAGATATAGGGGGTTCCAGCTATAGAGATAGAAGGGTCAGAGAGTTGGTAGGGATAGGCTGGGTAGGTGGGGGGGGGGGGTGTTGCATAGGTAGTGGTGAAATAACAAAGCCATGTACAAGTAAGGCTCAACCATTAGAAAGATCTTTATATTCCTGGGTGCATGTGTACTCAGTCCAGTAAAACCAATCTGTTTCCTCTTAATGTACAGTATGAGATAGGCCATAGTGTCTTCTTATATTATCTTGTTGATTTTGGAAATCTATAGACTGAAAATGGGGGGTTGGGGGTGGGTCTGTCTCTTGAGGGTGAGATTGCACATCCTTGCTGCATTTATTAAGTGGCTTAGGAGGGATTTACAGTATCTGTGTCTTGAGAGGTAGGAAAGATAAAGGACATATTAAGATGGCACAGTACCAAGGTCTATGTTAATTTCCGTGTTATATTAACACGGAATAATCTTAATAGTCTTAATTTGTTTAGCGGTGGGTCTACACCGTGTTCCAAATTATTATGCAAATGATATTTTTCTCATTTACCTAAATAATGGATGTAAATAACAGTCAGCATAATTCTCATGTTATCAACTATTAAGAGTACAATTCACATTTTATTGAACAAACCTCCTAATGATAACAGTATTTTTGTTAAACATAAAACACTTCCAATGCACTGTTCCAAATTATTACGCACAGTAAGTTTCAAAACACCTTATAGGTTGTAAAGAACTGAAAATTGTCATTTGTTGTGTTTGCAGCATATTTACTGAAATCAAAAGCTATTTAATCAAACTTTTAACAACATTTTAACTTTTTAAACATTTTAAACAGGTCACGTTACATTGTAACATAGGACCCCTTATTTGATAGCAGCTTCACAAGTCTTGCATCCATTGAACTTGTGAGTTTTTTGGACAGTTTCTGCTTGAATTTGTTTGCAAGATGTCAGAATAGCCTCCCAGAGCTGCTGTTTGGATGTAAACTGCCTCCAACCCTCATAGATCTTTTGTTTGAGGATGCTCCAAAGGTTCTCAATAGGATTGAGGTCAGGGGAGGATGGAGGCCACACCATGACTTTCTCTCCTTTTATCCCCATAGCAGACATTGATGCAGAGGTATTCTTTGCAGCATGAGATGGTGCATTGTCGTGCATGAAGATGATTTTATTAGGGAAAGCATAGTTCTTCCTTCTGTACCAGGGAAGAAAGTGGTCAGTCATAAACTCCACATACTTTGCAGAGGTCATCTTTACACCTTTGGGGACCCTAAAGGGGCCAACCAGCTCTGTTCGCATGATTCCGGCCCAAAACATGACTCTACCACCGCCTTACTGATGTCGCAGCCTTGTTGGAACAGGGTGGCCGTCCACCAACCATCCACTACTCCATCCATCTGGACCATCCAGGGTTGCACGGCACTCATCAGTGAACAGGACTGTTTGAAAATTAGTCTTCATGTATTTTTCTGCCCAATGCAGCCATTTCTGCTTGTGAGGATTGGTTAATGGTGGCCGAATAGAAGGTTTGTGCACAGTTGCAAGATTCTAGAGGACTCTACACCTTGATGTCAGTAGGACTCCAGAGGCACCAGCAGCTTCAAATATCTGTTTGCTGCCATGTAATGGTATTTTAGCAGCTGCTCTCTTGATCCGATGCATGGATCTGGCAGAAATCTTCCTCAATGTGCATATATCTGCACAAACCCGTCTGTGCTCTGAATCAGCCACAAATCTCTTAATAGTGCGATGATCACGCTTACGTTTTTGTGAAATATCGAATGTTTTCATACCTCGTCCAAGGCATTGAACTATTTCACTCTTTTTGGCAGCAGAGAGATCCTTTTTCTTCCCCATATTGCTTGAAAATGGTGCTCTGTTTAATAATGTGGAACACCCTCCTTTAGTAGTTTTTCCTTAAATTGGGCTCACCTGCCAGTCTAATTATCACAGATGTCCGAGATTGTTTTCAGTGATCAAAAGAGCCCTGAGACACAATGCCATCCATGAGTTACACTGAAAAACAAAATATTTAATCTTTGTGACACTTAAAGAGAATTTGCATAATAATCTGGAACAGGGTGTAGCAGAGTTCTTAAGTCAGCAATTGGTTTAATTCCATTATGGGTGATGAAATCTTTAAGCTGGTATTTGTTGAAAATCAGAGGTTCCTTTAGATATTTTCCTGCTATGCCCAAACCGAAAGACCACATTGCAGAGATTTATGACATGAACATTAATAATTTAAGTAAGCATAGAATTATTTTTTGTGTCTAATCAGGGCTGTAAAGTAGTTGGATCTGCTGGCTCAGATAAAAAAGTTGCATATTTAAAGGAAATTGGTTTTGATGAAGCTTTCAACTATAAGACTGTGAGCTCACTTGAGGAAGCACTGAAGACAGCATCTCCGGAGGGCTACAACTGTTTCTTTTTGAGAATGTGAGTCTGCTTGAGCTTTGTCGATTAGTAATAAAAAAAATAACAATTTCTGTTCTTTTTTTTTTAGTCAAAAATGAATTTTAGGAATTGCATATTTTTGCATTGTTACATTGGTTCAGCTGGGGCAAATGCAACTATGTATATATCATATCAAGCTCATGCCCATGGCAGCTGTAAATCACTGAAATAGACACCGCTTCTCCAGTGCTTTCCATTTGCTTCCATATGCCACGCTGACTGGCCAGCCTGATTCATTGTGAATACAGGAGATCAGCCACTTGGTAAGGGCACCATTCAGAGAATGCTTTGCATTTTCTGAATGAGTGCAAAGCATTCTCTGGTTGAATAAGGTGGAGAGCATGATGTCACCACCCCACCTCTGCACCTCCTCCAATCACAGAACACTTTGGAGAGTTGATAGTTCTCTTTGTTTGTCCATGTGGGAATGCGGATGGCTCCCTGATTCTTTTGCACCCAGTGCAGAGATCAAAGCAAGAGTGAGACAGTGTATTACTGGATAGGCACTCATTTTTAATGTTTTACATAGCTGTACCGGCAAAAGGGGCCAGTCTGAAGTGATCTGGCTGGACTTAATTTTCTGACTAAAGTTCCACTTTAATAGGAAAATTGGTATTATTGAAATAAAGTTGTTGTCCTAAAGCCAAACACCAGGCAAAAATGAAATGTATATAGTGCATTGTTCATCAACTGCCTTACTCCACAGTCTTCATTCCAAACACCTCTTCCTAAGCCATCTTGCAGTGTAATGGATCAAAATTACAGGTTTGTCTATGAGCAAAGCTAATGTTCTGCCCTAAGGACCAGACATTTGTCCTGTTTTATTGTTAAAATAGGGACGTCGCCACTGGTTGTATCCACAAACACAAGGAAGGAGAAAAACAAAAAAACAAAAAAGAAGAGCAGCTATCTAGTCATTGAAAACCATGGTGATTGTAAGATAACTGAGCAATTAGAACAGCGCTCCTCACCAAATACATCTCTGTTGATAATAGCCAAATACAGTCAGCATCAATATTGGTACAAAAATATTTGTACCAATATTGATGCTAACCGTATTCGGTTTGTACCAATAGAGATGTATTTCTCCTGTTAGCATACATACATCAACCAAAAAACAATAATAATGTCCTTGAAAGTCTCTTAGCCAAATATCTTGTAACATGTGGAGTGCTTCTTTATGATTATCCACCAATATGTGCTCCTATAAATCATGCACTCTGTGTGCAGCCAACACCGGATATGCTTCCACCTGGACAAAAATAGTACTTTAGTCTTATTAAAAACGTATTACTCTTCCAAGTATAGAAATGCACTGTCTTAAAATGGGTGCCAGATCGCACCAAATGCCAGCATGTATATAGAAATATAGCAATAATGTGCGTTATCACTTTCTATTACCGCACTTCCATATGTTACCAAGCATATAGACATCATCCAGGCTCCACCTGAATGTTTACCACTCGGTTCCCCGTTAACCAGGGCTTTTTTCAGCGGGAACATGGGGGAGCGCAGTTCTGCCACCTCAAGCACTGAATGTATGTAATGTCAGGGGATGGTGGGGTGAGCTGGAGGGTCTATTGAGGCTGGCTGCTGGGGGTTCTTTTGTTGCTGGTGGGATATATTGTTTCCAATGGAATCCCCCCGATGCCTGAATAAGGGAGTGCATTGCATGAAATGTAAGGAGAAAGGAGAGCAGAAGTGAAAGCCTTAAGAGGGAATCTACCACCAGTGAAGAGTTCCAGGAACATCTGACTGCAATCTGTTAGTCTACGGAGAAGGACAAAAGGTTTTATTGACCCTGCATATTATGTAAGGTCAAGTTGTTCAGGTGATAGCACATCAGATGTTGGCTGCACACAGAGTGGGTGATTTATAGGAGCACATACTGTATTGGTGGATAATCATAAATTACATAGGATACAATATATTAATTTAAGAGATTTTTAAGGACATTACTATTGTTTT